AACCCTAAACCCTCAAACCCTAAGACCCTTAACCCTAAACCCGAAAACCCTAAACTCCAAATCCCTGAAACCCTGAAACCCTAAAGCCCGAAACCCTGGAAGACTGTCGCAGGAAAGCTGCGCGGCAACTCCATCAGACCCCGGGCAAGAACCTCGAAGCTCAGGCGGCGCTCCTGTCTCAATGGCTCCTTCTTTATGGGTTTCGGGCTTAGGGTTTAGGGTTTAGGGTTAGGGTTTGGAGCTTAGGGTTTACGATTTGAGCAGGGCTATCAAACAAAAACCTATACCCTGAACCGCAAACTCCTACATGCTACTTTGAGGTGTGCTACAGCATACCTATGATCAGAACCCCAAGGAACACATTGGCAACAGGCTTCGTCCTTGCAGCTACGGTGCGGGAGAATATGTTTGTAGAACCTCTGAACATGGGTGTAGCCGGTTTAGGCCAGGTTGATGGGGCTTCGGGGAAAATGTAGGTGCTTTGGTGATTAGAATAGACTTTTCGTGTATATATATATATATAATACACTTTATATTATGATTGTCATAAGGTGCCCTGCAGAATAGTGCTGCTTACTGTTCAGATCCCTGCATTTATTGGGCTGCTAATTCAAAACGCAGACAAGACGAACGAAGCTTTAGGGCGCATTAACTTTTTATTGCCGTGCATCGTATTTCCCGAAAACCTATTGTAGCTTCATGTAGTACTTAAGGCCACTATACTGCTTTGTCACATGCAGCTTCTTCGGACCCGGAACACAAACCCCTGAGCTTTTCCAACAGGCTATGCGGACTGTGGGAGAAAGGGCTGTCAGCGTCAGCGACCACAGATCATGGCCACTGGCATACAGCAGGACGACTGAGCACCAAAGGTGCACTGCAAAAGCACCCTCTTGAGTCGAGCTTCTGCGTCGGATTTGGGCCGGATTCATTCGGAAGATGATGGAAATAGGGTTCCGAAAGAAATGCAGAGCACAAAACAACCACACCGACACAAAGGTGCCTATGGATCACACATGGCATCCCAGCTCACGCTAAAACCTGCCAGCCCTCTGCCGGCGGACGTATCACAACTTTCCGACTCTCACTTGGTCACGCGGCTCCCGGCAATTACCTGGTTTGAGGATAAGGATTAGCCCGCAATCTTCACGAGCATGGTATCTTGACCTCAAACCCTATCCCTAACCCTAACCCTGAACTCTGTCTGCTACAGAAGGCATATCGGGAGCCAGGTGCCCGCGTGACTGTATCATCCCTCCATCCACAGGGATGACAGGAAGGACAGCAGTCAATCGGAAAAAAGACGAACACTAAAATCTTGCTGTCAAGCTATGTGGTCATGGAAATATGACGGGACTCAAGCAGCCTTCCCGGAGGAAGACGACCAGAAATGTGACGGCAACCAGCACATACATCTTTGGTATAAGAGGCATTAGGGCGTGCATATGCGACAATGTGATGCCATGCAGGGTATGAAGAACCTTTGCTAGTTCGTTGATATGACAACGGAAAGCCAATTACAACGTACGACATGCAGCAGCACAACAACAAGTTCACTCGCAGACGCAAAAAGCATTTCAGGGGCAAGTTTCGACCCACGAAAGATGACTTTCACGAACATGGTGCACGCCATGAAAGCGGATACCATTCAACACAATGTACACATCGTGCTTGAATGAGAACACTGCTGAAATCACGGCAGACACCCGCTTAAGCTTCAATGTGTCTGGCAGTTCCACGAGTACCAGGGCCAGATGCCGTGAGCGAGCAGCGATTGCGGTGAACACCTATCACCTTCGTACGATTGCCATCGTTGCACAAACTCGCTTGATGTCCCGTCTTGAAAAGCCCTGAGGGATCAAGTGTCGAATCAATGTGTACTTCTGCTAACAAGAAATCGTATTTGGCCCCTTTGGTCTCAAGTACCATGACTGCCGTTTAAGCACGTAGACCCTCAGGCAGGGAGTTTATCTGACTCCGTGACCAATAGCGACATCCTAAACATACATAAACGAAGCGGGCAACCCAGCAGCTCTGCACCATTACTTGTCCACCGAAAAAACAAAAACCCACTAGTACCTGCTCCTCCTCCTAATCCCACTCCTGCGGCTACTTTCACTGCGACTACTCCTAACATCCTGGACCAGACACAATCAGAACCCTAAACCCTAAACCCGAACTTGCTGTAACTACTTCACTCCCGAAGCCGGAATCTCGGGGAAAAAAGGGAGTACTACTGGGAGGCCTAGTTTATTTCAACCCAAGGATTAAGGATACCTTTTTGAAGACTCTTTCTTCAGGTTCCCACGGCCTACATCCATCCCACCTCTGAAAGAAGAACTTTGCATCCACGCATAGATCCGCAATGTACTTTGGGGAAGGGGGGCTTCAATAGAATGCTTTTGTTTTTTTTGGGAGGGGGGCCTTTTACAATGGAACCATATAGTGACCAACGGGCATATTGTTTACTGTTTAATTAGTCCGACCCATGGATTCGTTCCATTCGAATGCAATAACTAGCCTAGACAGGTTGTCCAGAGCAAGCTGCGACTATCCAGGGTCGAGCTGAGGTTGTAAATCGAGCGCCCTTAACCCTAATCTTTATGCCTAAAACCAACCCTAAACCCTAAACCCTCCCAAAATCCCTAACCCCCCCAAAAAAAACTAAACCCTAACATCCTAAACACCAAACAATACGCCCATTGTGTAGTTCGAGGTGCACTTTTTCTGCGGCTGCCCTGCGATAGTGCGTACAGCTTGCGAGCCTCTGTTCACATATATGCATATACGTATGTACATATATGCATATATACATATAAATATACATGTATATATATATATATACATATGTGAAAATGCATATGATATGGTTTAAAATACATAATAAGGAAAACATCATGTGTTACACTCTGTAGATATATATATATATATATATATAGGTAATGTAACTTTTGCGGTTCAGGGTTTAGGGCCGTTTAAGAATTCCGATAAGCGGCCTTTCAGGGTTGCTCCAAAAGGCTCTGCAACAAGGGTTGTATGAGGGCTTTAGTTTTGGGGGGCCTTAGTCATTAGCACGCGGTTTGGAGGCATACCACTGTTCCCGAATACCAACTTTAAGAAAACCATAATTTAATGATAAGGAACAATATTGGCAGCTGTTCAGACCCCAAAGTAACTGAGATCGGGGATACTCACAGAAAACATACCTTCAAATTCAATTCATATAGAAGCCCTACGTTGTATGGTGTCTATATATATATATACACATACATCGATAAATAAATACGTACATACATACACACACACATATATATATATATATATATATGTATACACATACACATGTATACATATATACGTGTATGTATATATATATATATATACACATACATATATATATATATGTTTATAGACACATACATCTATGCCTGCATGTATGTATGTATGTATGCAACTGAAACTCAATCAAGCTTGAAAAGATTTAGAACCCTATACCCCCAGCCTGAACTACCGAAAGCCTCGCTGAAGCTCCGAGAGTTTGTCCCAATTGACGGAGGCTCGTAGGATAAAACACAGACCAAGAGGCTCCATCCACATCCACTACTACTATAGTAAAGTTTCGGGTTTAGGGTTTAGGGTTTAGGGTTTAAGGGCTCAGGGCTTAGGGCTTAGAGTCTAGGGCCCCAAAACCATTATAATGGTCTTTTGGTGCCTTTGTCCATGATGGGTGTATGCGGAGCCTCCGGAGAACAATGGAGACGGCACGGCAGACCGCCAGTAAGTGCTCCAACAGGCAAGCTGTGGAGTCTTGTCTGATTGAAGGCGTTCTCAAGAACATGTAGGGCTTATGGTTAGGGCTTTAGGGCTTAGGGTGAAGGAATCAAGTGTTAACAGTGTGCCTTCATTGTGCTTTACAAGGCTGTCTTCCCGCGATTCCCGCGGGAAAGGCCTCCAGTGACTAAAAGCCCGACACAAACACGTTGGCTCGGGCTGACATGCAAGAGAGCCACCAGTGCTTGGGTGGCCTTACTATGCGCGGTCTCTTGTTGGTATCCTAACAGCATGTACGAACAAGATGATGCGTACTGGAATTTCGTTCGAAGAACGCACATGCAAAAAGTGCGTGTTAAAGACACTGCAACGATGTCCATCGACGCCACACAGAACATTTGTATCAGCTTGTACCATCGTACGTTGTAGCATGTTATAGAACTACAGCCCGTAAGTTCTTGTGTATTTGAGACCGTAGACGGCAGGTGGAAAAGAGCTACCCCGGAAGGTCTCCGAGTAGCAGGAAATTGTCAGAAAACTTCGATTTTCAAAGCCGGGCTGTCTGACATCATCTCCCGGGTCTGTCTTATTATCCTAGCTGTTTCGGAAACTAAGGTTAACGTTTGGGAAAATATCAGGATGACAATTACTCCAAAAGGTTACAAGATTATCTAGTCTACTACTATAAGTATAGGAACTTGAAGGTAAAGTAACATACGCTAGGTTGGCCATTTAATGTCTTTGGAACCCATTCGCCTATGAGATCCTCTGAGGCCGCATAACAAAGGGCTTCGTAGTAAAAGGAAGGCCTGATGTAGGGACCTTAATGACTGGAATAGGGTTTGGGGGATTCGTTATTATCATTATAGTATGATATACCCCCAAACCTTAGTCTATTGTTTGAGGCCGCTATATTAGCAGATAGTATGCTTCCCTCTGTCGGTCTATATGAAAGTATGTTCCGACAGAAGAGCCCAGACCTCGATGGAGATCCAGCCCGATCATAGGGGGAGCACACGGCACACATTGCAGAGACTCTCCCACTCAGAAGTTTACGGTTTAAGGTCGCTAGAGCGGCAGAGGCATACGGCTCAGAAAGCCTTGAGGCCGAGGAGGTAAACTTCTGCCTTCAGTGGTTTAGGGGGTTTAGGGTTTAGGGTTTAGGGTTTAGGGTTTAGGGTTTGTACGCAAAGCCTGCATATGGGTAGTCATCTTAATCAGGGTTCCTTCTGAGGTCCTTTTTATAAGGGTGCTGTACTATATTGGGGACCTACAAAGGGACCCTAATTTCGAGGATTACACTCCAGACTTCCATCCGAAATTCTTAGCCCCAACTAAACCCAAAAACCCTAAACCCCTAAACCCAAAGCCAATAAATAAACTCCAAATCCTCAACCTCATGCTCTATGTCCTAGTCAGCCTCGGTACTATAGGGGCCTAGATAATTACGCATACCATGTTTTTATTTTATGTTTTTTTTTTTTTTTTTGGGGGGGGGCCTTATTCTAATATAGTAAGATACCCCTAAATATAAGGGCCAATACTATTTTGGGAGTTCCTTATAATCATAGATATAGTATAACTGGCCCCAAAACCCTATTCTAATTCCTACAAGGCCCCTCTATAGAACCCTTATAGTAACCCTTATTGTTTTACGGAACCCTTTAAAGGAACCCTGTTCTCACTGTTATAAGGCCTGTACATTACTCAGCCTCGGTACTTCCATGCGCCGATGTCCTACTCAGCCTCAGCAATATAGGGCCTCAATAATTCGAACAGCATTTTGGGGGTATCCTATGCTATCATTATAATAAAGCAAAACCTATATAAACAAGATATGAAATGGGGTTTGGGGGGTATGTTATACTACAGGTATCATTATAATAAAGGAAAGCCCAGAATAATATAGGTAACAACAAACCCTAAACCCTAAACCCTAAAACCTAAACTCTAAACCCTAAACCCTAAACCCTAAACCCTATACCCTAAACCCTAAACCCTAAACCCTATACGACTTCCATCCTCCGATGTCGGCCTCCTAGGGCTCCTCACTGCTCTGCCGCTTTGACTCGACATGCCTTGCGTGAGGAGTGAGGTGCTTTTTTTTTTTGTTTGGGGGGTGGGGTTAGGTTTTTTCGGGGTTTCGGGTTAGGGGTTTAGGGTTTAGGTTTAGGCGTTTTGGGGTTTAGGGTTTAGGGGTTTAGGGCTTAAGGGCTGAAGGTTAAGGGGTTAGAGTTTAGGGTTTAGGGCTTAGAGCCTAAGGCGTTGGGCTTAAGCGGTCTAAGGGTTTCGAGCAACTTTTGCTTATTAACAAGGTTTGGGCTTTGTTGAAAGCGCTAGGGTTGGAATTATGGAGGGTTTACCGCACCCGAAACAAAACATGAAGGCTCCTTTGTTAAACCTAAACTGTTTTGGGTTTTGGGGTTTAGGGGTTTAGGGGTTTAGGGTGTAGGGTTTAGGGTGTATAGGGTTTAGGGTTTAGCGTCTCGGAAAGCCCTAAACCCAAATGCTGCTCTGCTAAGATGCTCGCTGAAGACGCTAGGAGCGAACTCCACCTGTTCCCGAAACTGGTTCATCTTCCGGATGTGCCTTCCAGGGTTCAAGGCTTACAGGGCCGCAGGGTTAAGGCGTTTTGGGTTTAGGGCCTGGGGTTCAGGAGTTATAGCTTAAGGTAAAGTTGAGAGTTTAGGGTTTAGGGTTGAGGAAATATGGCTTCAGAGGGTTAGGGTTCAGGGTTCAGGAATAGAAATTATGGTTCAGGGTCTTCTTCCCCACGTGCCTGTCGTGCAGGAGCCGATTCCTGGGTCAGCGGACGAATTTGGGTTGAATACATCCTAATTTCGGGCGGGATGAACACACCCATTCTGACAACCAAACCAAAGCTTTCGGGGTTAGGAGCCCTAAACCCTGAACCCTATAAGTCAATAAGCCCTAAACTGCGGAAATAACGGACAAGGTACCCAACACCCTAAGAGCCCCCGAGAAAACCCTTTATGAACAAGGGGGCCCGAGCACCGTCCACCCTTGAAATAGGAACTGGATTCGGGGAACCCTTGAGGATATAGACCCTCTCAAGAAGGTCCTCTTGAAGAGAGCCATGAGAGAGGTTAAGAAGGGTCCACTTTAGGCGGTCTCCCTAATACTATACTACCTAGGATGAAAGCGTTTCAGGATCCTATATTTAGGACGTCGGGCTTGGGGCACGAACCTAAAACTTTTCCACATTCGCATAGCATCGGCTGCCGCGGCACGGTGTTCCTTAGATGGCACACCAGCCGCAGGCCAACGACAAACCCAACTCACCTTCAACAACCACACACCATACCAAAGAAAGCTTACAACCACCTGATAATCTTTTACTACAGTGGACAGAACCCTAAGCCCTAAACCCTAAACCCCAAACCCTAAACCCGAAACCCCAAACCCTAAACTTTGGCCCTAAACCCTATAAACCCTAAACCCCAAACCCTAAACCCTAAACCCCAAACCCTAAACCCTGAACCCTAAACCCTAAAGCACAGCCTGGCTGCGGGATATCTTGATTCCATGAGGCAGAGTCCCATGATGACTCGACCAGAATTTCGCGCTTCTTGGGTGCTGGGGTTGGCTCCATCCTCTTCAGCCTCTTCGGGTTTAAGGGTTTAGGGTTTAGGAGTTTAGGGTTTAGGGTTTAGGGTTTAGGGTTTAGGGTTTAGGGTTTAGGGTTTAGGGGGGGGAGGCGGGCTGTCGGTCAAAATTCAATTCAAGATTTCGGTCCCTGTGGGGCGCAGAGATGCAATCTTGGGTCTGAAACTGAAGGCTTTCTTGGGTTTAGGGCTCCTAACTCAAATGGCAGTCTTGCTTGAAGCCATCGGACTTATGGTGAATCCATCTTGTAATCGTGGTAGCGGTAGCCATCGTAACGGTCGTCGTCGCCTTAGAAGTAGTAGCAGCAGTCGTCGTCGTCGTCGTCGTCGTCAGCTTTAAAGTGCATGGCCAGAGGTTCCAAGGTGGGTGTCCGGGATGGCTCCAAAGTAGAATTCGGTCGATGGTTGCTGTGTCAAAGGACAGCTAGGCTTTCAATAGGCCCTTGAGTCATGTTGCTTTCCGAAGCGGATGATCTACGTTGTAGGGCTTAGGGTTTAAGCTCTAGGGTTTAAGGTTTAGTGTTTAGGGTTTAGGGGATGATCTACATTGCAAAGATTAGAAACAGCATTCCGCAAGCCTATGTTGTCGTTGTCTGTACAACTTCTGCACCAGATCTGCGCATTGAAATCATTGAAACGTAGCATGCGCAGTTGAAGCTTCGCGCACTGTGTCTTCCGAGTTCGAAAACAAGTCCAATTCGTGACTTCATGGCTGATGCTCCCTAAAGCCTAGACCCTAAACCCTGTCACTCACAGAGCGAGGATGTCTATCAGCAGGTCTGGGGTCATCTTTGAGGGTCTCAGTGCTTCCCGAGATGCTCGGGCTTGGCTTAGGGTTTAGGTTTTTAGGGTTCGTAAAGTCCCAGGCCCTAAACCCAAAACCCCAGACCCCTAGACCCTAAACCCTCGAGGATGGGACTCAATTTGGGACTGCGAGGGCTTGGCTCGTCTTGGGTTTTTTCCCCAACAGTTTTAACATTTAGGGCTTACCTCGATTTCTTTGAAGACGCTCTACGGAACTGGAAGCTGCTCGACAAAGGCGAATCGACGACCCTAAACCCTAAACCCACAGCCTCGCTGATGGACTCAGGACGGTCTAAACTTCGAACCAGTAAGCCTCAACCCCTTGGATCCTTGCACCCTCAACCCTAAATCCCTAAGGCTTATACACTAAACTCCTAAACTTAGGGTTTAGGGTGCCCTAACTAAGTCCCTAAATCGACTACCCGAAACCCACTTTACATGCTCTCGAACATCGCGCTGGGCCTGTGCCCCTGCTGGCTTCTCTGCAACTGCTTCTGCATTGCCTGCAGAGCAGAGCGCTGACACTTAGGATTGCAAGGGAAGGGTTTTGGGTTTGGTATTGTTCAGGATTAACCCTGAAATTGGTTTCGCCGTTCAAAACCGGTAAACCCTCTTCAACCCCACCAATGTAGGGGCCCTGATAGTTAGAACTAGAATAGGGAGTTGGGGGTCCGTTATACTACAATTATAGCAAGGATGCCCCAAAATAATATTCCCGTTCCTGTGCGGACGGTAGATCCCTAGACTGACAAAATAGTATTGGTACTTACGTATAAAGTATTAGGCCCCTATATTAGAACCGAAGCCCCGCGATCCTACTAGACCCCTAAACCCCAAACCCTATAGTTATAAATCCTAAACGATGCACCCAGCACCCTGCAACACGTCTACTCCATCCCTAGTGGCTCCCCTTGCTTGAAAAGGTTTAGGGTTTAGGGTTTAGGGTTTTAGGGTGTAGGGTTTAGGGCTTTAAGATTTAGCGTTTTAGGGTTTTAGGGTTTCAGGGTTTTAGGGTTTTGGATTTAGGTTTTCAAACAGTTCTCTAAATTAGGTTCCCTCTTGGGGTCCTTTTCATAAGGGTGCCGTCCTATAGTGGGTACCTACAAGTGGGACCCCCCAACTGAGAAAACTATGCCCAGAACCCCAAAACCCCAGGCGTGTGACGCCCAACTCGTCGAGGCGCCAACGAACATTCAGAGTGCGGTTGCTGGGATCTGACACCCAATGGGCCCCCAGGGTTTATTTAAGGTTTAGGGTTTAGGGAACACAATCTTGAACAAGATAGATAGATAGATAGCTAGCTAGCTAGGTAGGTAGATAGATAGATAGATAGATGGACATATATATATATATATGTATATATATATATATGTATGTAAATTATAATCCCTTCTCGCGCAGGGTTTCATGCAGGTTATGGTATTTTGCGGTGCCCCACCCTGTCGAACTAGCTCTTGCCCGGGAACCCTTAACCCTAAACTCTAAATCCTGAACCCTAAACCCTAAATAGTAAACCCTAAACCCCACACCCTAAATCCTGAAGCCTGGGACGGCGGCGCCGGCGGATGATTAGGAACCCCTGCTGCGCAGCCCATGTCTGTGATGGCCGCTTTCTTGGGGAAGTTCCCTCGTTGCGACTTGTGATGCTTGAGCCCCAAATCTGCGTAAACACATCAACGAAGAAATCTCCAATACAACAGCCTCCAAGGTGCTAGTAGAAGAAGTAGTAGTAGTAGTCGTCGTCGTAGTAGTAGTGGAGAGCTCTGGCGAGACAAAATGTGAGGGATGAAGGGCTGCGGGGGGCGGAGAGATCTAGGGTCAGAGGCCTAGCTCTGTGGTTTGGAGTTTAGGGTTCAGGGTTTTAGGGTTTTAGGGTTTAGGGTACGGGGTTTGCATCTCGGTTTAAGGCTGGGCGTCCAAGCTCAAACCCTAAACCCTAAACCCTAAACCCAAAGCCCTAAACCCTAAACCCTAAACCCTAAGCCCTCATCCGTTTTCCAACAGGCTCTCCCGGCAGTTTGCCGACCCATGGGGGCCGCCGACTTCAGCGACCCAAGATCCTTAAGGGGTTTAGGGTTTACAGTAGGGGTTTTAGGGGTGAAAGGGTTTAGGGTTTAGGG